TTTCTGGTAAATTCTCTCACCCTCTTGTGCCTCTGGCCTGTACTCCAGCTCTTGTACAAATAAATCTTTAAAAAAAAAAAAAAAGGAAAGGAAAGGAAAAAACACATGGTCATATCGGTAGATGCTGAGAAAGCATTTGATAAGCATTTGATCTCTGGCTGGCCAGGGATCCAACTTGTGCTGCAGAGGCTGTGGCTTGCTTCATAGTGCTGTGCTTAACCCCTTGCGCCACCAGGGAGGCCTGACAATTACTCTTTGACAAAGGAGCAAAGCATCAACACTGGAAGAAGGAATGCCTCTTCAGTATTGGTACTGGGGATATTGGACTGCCACATGCAAAAGAATGAAACTAGACTACTTGCTCACACCATACAACTCAAAATAGATAAAAGTCTTGGATGTAAGATTTGAAACCGTAAAATACATAGAAGAAAACGAAGCAAAACACTCCATGAAGTAAACCTCAAATTAAACAAAGGGGCAAATAAGCAACCGGGACCACATCAAACCAAAAAGCTTCTGTACAGTGAGAGGTATCAAATACCTTTGATAATGCAGGTATTTATGTTCAAAAGTAATTTTTAACAATACAACTAGATTCAAAGAGATGCTAGTGTTGCCAGCAGCAGTGATTTGAGAATGTAGGAGTTTATCTCTCTAGGATAGTGGCTGGCCAAAACAAAGAGGCACCCCACCGAATGGGAGAAAATATTGGCACAGCACACATGTGACAAGGAATTGACATAGAAGACCTACAGAGCACTTGCGCAGCTCAACCAGAAGAAAACAAACAACTCAATCAGAACATGGGCAGAAGAACTAAACAGGCACTTCTCCAGAGAAGACATGAAGATGGCTCGTGACATGTGAAATATGCTCATCATCAACCCAGGAAATTCAGATCAAAACCACAGTGAGGGCCTCCCCGGTGGCGCAGCGGTTGAGCGCTGGGTTGCGAAGCTGCCCGCGGCCTCTGTGGCGCCGGTTCGATCCCTGGCTGCTCCCCGGCCACCGGAGGAGGGTCCCACATGGCGTGCAGACCTCTCCTGCCGCCCACTGCTCCCCTCAGCAGTGTACTTCGGTCCTTCTACCTGCTCTGCTCCCCGCTCTGGCTCTGGTGAATTCTCTCACCCTCCCGCGCTTCTGACTGTACCCAGTGCATGTATAAACAAAACAAACAAACAAACCAGCAAACAAATAAATAAAGCATGCCTCTATAAAAAAAAAAAAAAAAAAAAAAAAAAACCACAGTGAGATACTCCTGTGAGAATGGCTCCTATTTAAAAAACAACAAACAAGTGCTGGTGAGGGTGTGGAGGGGAAGGAACCCTATCACACTCTTGGTAGACAGGTCCAGCCCCTGTGGAAGGAAGTCTTTTCTCAAAAGACGAAATATGGACTTCCCAGATGATCCAGGGATTCCAATATATGGAAGCAACTTAAATTCCTAAGTACTTATGGGTGGATCAAGAAGACGTGGCACATGTACTCAATGGAATTTTATCAATGATCAAAAAAAAAGAAAAGCTCATGCCGTTTGCAGCAACATGGATGGAGCTGGAAAGGATGATTCTAAAAGTGAGCCAGAAGGATAAAGGGAAATACAGATTGTGTCACTTATATGTGGAATCTAGAGACACTAAACAAAGGATCAGACAAAGACACACAGTAAGTCTGACCCTAGAAATCAGACCTTAGACCTGACACACAGGAGCAGAAGGGGAAGGAAAGGGGGAGAGTAGGGAATGGGGAGGCTGGTGGAGGAGGCTGTGTGAGCGTTGGTGGGGGAAAAACTGTATGACCCCAACTAAGGGGAGAAATTCTACATAGTGAAAAAATAAAGAAGAATGATTCACTAACTGAAAAAACAAAAACAAAAAATAGCTGTAGAACACGATGCAGCAAAGTAAATCATCTCGAAGGAAACACCAAGATAATCCTAATTCTGCTCCTATTGCGTAGTGATACAATTTTTCTAGGCTCAGTTTTAAATAAGGGGCAATAAGTCCTTGAGGACACAGCTATGGGAGTGGAAACTGCACCCCCTTCCACCTGAGGGAAAGAAAGGTCAGTCAGCCGGTGACTCCTACTCACCCCTTCTCGGGCTTAGGGGTCCTCAAGCCTGGAAACCCTCCTGCTGTCATCTAGGAGGGACCTTTGATAATGCAGGTATTTATGTTCAAAAGTAATTTTTAACAATACAACTAGATTCAAAGAGATGCTAGTGTTGCCAGCAGCAGTGATTTAAGAATGTAGTTTATCTCTCTAGGATAGTGCCTGGTAATAGATAATAGAACAAGCCACCAAGACTTTCAAATTTATTTATTTATTTAATTTATTTTTACAAGCACTGGGCACAGTCAGAAGCGTGAGAGGGTGAGAGAATTCACCAGAGCCAGAGTGGGGAGCAGAGCAGGCAGAAGGACTGAAGTACACTGCTGAGGGGAGCAGTGGGCGGCAGGTCTGCGTGCCATGTGGGACCCTCCTCCTGTGACCGGGGAGCAGCCAGGGATTGAACCGGCGTTGCAGAGGCTGCGGGCAGCTCCGCAACCCAGTGCTCAACCGCTGTGCCACCAGGGAGAACCACTTTCAAATTTAAAAATTCAGAATAGGGCCTCCCCGGTGGCGCAGTGGTTGAGCGTTGGGTTGCAAAGCTGCCCGCAGCCTCTGTAGCACCGGTTCGATCCCTGGCTGCTCCCCGGCCACCTGAGGAGGGTCCCACATGGCGCGCAGACCTCTCCTGCTGCCCGCTGCTCCCCTCAGCAGTGTACTTCGGTCCTTCTGCCTGCTCTGCTCCCCGCTCTGGTTCTGGTGAATTCTCTCACCCTCCCGTGCTTCTGACTGTACCCAGTGCTTGTATGTATAAATAAATCTTTAAAAAAAAAATTCTTTAAAATAAATAAATAAATAAATAAATAAAATTCAGAATAATAGTCCTAGAGTTTACCAATCACAAAAGACCTAGAACCTTCCCCTTCTGCAGCACGGGGTGACACTTGTGTTTGAGGTCTTTGCAAACCACACCCTCCTAATCTTCTGGACATGGAAAATATCCTCTTCCTGTGCTGCCCAAAGACCTCATTCCTGTCTGGGTTCTCTCCCCTGGGGTCCAGTGCTGGGACCAGAGCACAGACTGACCAGGACCCAGCGGGGCTGCTGTCACCTCTGGGGTGGCTCCTGGCAGCATGGACAGCACGTGGCCCTTGGTGGGTCTGAGGGTGACTTAGCTGTGACAGGCCTGGCAGAAGCTGTGGTCACAGGAGGTGCTCCCCGGGCCCCTGTCTCCAGGCAGACGCTGCAGGTCCCCCATGCCAGGGGTGTCCAGTCGTGGCCCCAAGGTCATGACTGTCCCACAAGGTGGGTGAGGAAAGGGAACAAATGGAGGGCAAAGGAGATGCTCAGGGTGGAGGGGACCACACATGCCCTGGTCAAGCCACAGGAGCCTCCTCCCTGCTCTGCACACTCTCACCCTCTCCAGTCTCTGCTCCCCATGGCGCCCCAGGCCTTTCTCAACATGGACCCTCACCTGCCTTCTCTGCTCCCCACACCAGGCAGGAAGGGCTCACAAAGCCTGGCATCACCTCCACTTTCTCCCCCACCTCCTTTCCCTGCACCCAGGAGAGCAGACAGGGGCTGAGCATCCACGATGTTGCAGGTCCTGAGCTGAGACTCACAAGCATCAGCTCAGTCCTCACTGCGTCCCTAACCTCACCACACACAGGTGAGGAAACTGAGACTGTTGGGCGTGGGGGGAGTCCCTGTGCGGTTCACATTCTCATGCTGGGGGGACAGGCTGGAGTCCAGGCCCAGGGCAAGGCCCACGTCCCTCAGCACCCGCTGCCGCGGCTCCAGCTCCTGCCTGTGCCCAGCCCTGAACCCACCCCACGTGCAACACCCAGGACCCTCACCTCCCTGTCACCACCTGCTCCCCCTGGGGCTCAGGTCACCTGTCACCTCCTCAGGGAGGAGCCCCAGCAGCTCCCAGGTCAGGGCCCAGTCGCTCTGTGCTCCTGGGCCCGGCTCCAGCTGGACCCTGGGTTACAGACTCAGAGTCCTGGGACTGCTCACTCTGTACCCCAGTGCCTGGAGGGTGGCACCCCAATATATGTCATGTGAGTTAAAAAATTAATACTGTTATGCAAAAAGCAGCTCAGGAGGACTCTTGTTTCTGGTAATGGTAGGTTAGGACTTTCACACCAACCAACATACTGCAAACCACCATGTATTGTGTTGGGATTTGCCCTGCTTATGCACACAGAGGTTTCAGATATTTCAAGGGCTATTATGTGAAAAATCATCCTTATTCTGTTTGAGCAGAGGTCAGAAATTGGTCATTCTGCAGAAGTTTTGCAGCCCAGCCTCTGTCATCACCTCCCCTCCCTCCCCATGCATCGCCTTCCACCACAAGAGCAACATCAGGAGGAAGTTTTTTTTTTTTATAAGATTTAACAATAAAAGGGCTGCCTGGCCAGTTAGTGGGTGCCCTTCACTGAGTGGTGTCGGAAGCCAGTTCCAGCAAACTGTCGAGTCAGGGGTTCCTGCAAGGACGAGACAGTGTGGACGAATCTGAGGGGGTGAGGGGAAAGGGAATGAGGAGACAAAGACACTTGCTCAGGGTGCAAGTATCTCCTGCCCAGGGTCTCAGCAGCTCTTTATTTATCTTGAGCAAGCCATGGAGTACATTAGCTAGTGCTTTCAAGTAGTAAAAAAGACTAACAACTGTGACACCCTTTCAAAACCAGCCTGGGGACCTACAACCCCTTGCTGAGGTGATAATAGCCATTTCACTTTGTTCTAAAGGTAAATACAATGACCACACAAAGTGTCCACTAACAATCATTTATTTTCCACTGCCCAGGAATCATTCTGTTAATGCTAAAAACAGCAAAACAACAAAAAAACTTATATGACTAAAACTTAACTCCTTTATAACTGCTAAATTACTAATTAATCAAAATTCATAAAATTCCTATATCTTAAACATTAAAAAACATAATGACCTGCTGATGGTCTCGGCAAAATGTCCTGTCAGGGGTTCCTGAAAGGATGAGACGGCCTAAGGGAAGGGAATGAGGCAGACAAGCACACTTCTGTTTGGTGCAAGTATCTCCTGCTAAGGGACTCAGCAAGTCTTTATTCATTTTTAGCAAGCAGAAAAATTACATCATCATGTATAAAACAGAGACAATCAGAGTATTCTATTCCCATGGACTACTGGCTCCTACGGGTCTCAGCTAGACGGTACCCTTCAAGGTTAATAGATAAAAAACTAAACCTTACACTACAACTCATTATTTCAGCTAGACAATTACCTAAGACAGTTGATAGCCGCCAGTACATCCCTATCAGCTAAAGCCTAAGAATCAAAAGACTTTTCTTATTCGCATGGCCTTCAGCCCAAGACCAGTTGCTACTCAGCTATCAGAACTTTTTCTATCTAGAAACTCCTTAACACAAATAACTTCATTTAAAAACTTTCCCAAGAAACTTCTAAAAAAAAGGGAACTTCTTAAAAAAGCAAAAGAAGGACCTACTATAATTGTTGTGCTGGACTGCTTGTCAGGCATGAACAATAAATTGTCTCCCATTGTCAAGTGGGCCAAATTGTTTAATAACTAATTTCTAAACAGATAATTTTCCATGCCATTTACTTATAGTATGCTGATACATATAATTCATTGCCTAATGTACTTTCTGAGAATTTTTTCTCTTTTTATGACCAAGAACAAAAATCAAAGGGATGTTAAATCTTCAGCCCCTCTTCAGCCCCACGGTGTGAGGCCCTTTTTCTTCAGCCCCAAGGTGTGAGGCTCTTTGAGCTTCGGCCCCAAGGTGTGAGGCCCTTTTTCTTAGCTGCTTGCCAGTGTCTTACCTGGCTAGGGCAGCAAGGCCCCCTGCAGCATTTCCCCCTTTTTTGTTTTTGGCCATTATTTGCAAAATTTTTAACTCTACACATTTGATTGATAGCACTGAAAAGTAATTTGGTGAACAATGGGAAGTGAAACAAAATAATCATAGTGACAAGCAAAACAATACCTATAGCAATGAATGATGGGAATCAGGCAGCTTTAGTGGTGTAGTGCTGTAAGGAGGCCAAGAAGGAATCAGCAATCTTGGCCGGAGTTAAAGAAGATACAAAAGCTAAACTAATTGCTTTAATATTATTCTGAAGATTGGTAAGATTTAGGGAAATATTTGTATTATTTCAAACTCCTAGCAAATGATTTTTAACATTATTTCATGAAACAGAGGAAGAATTATAAACATGTGGAGTGACATAAATCCATTTGTAATCAGAGCGACATGGAGTGGTCAAGTGAGTTTTGATATGCTGAATTTGATTTCCAATATACAAAAGTGTCTCCTCTAGAACATTTAAGCGAGTCTCAAAATTTTTTATCTAAGAGCATAAATATTAAAATTATTATACCAATATTTCTTTGGATCTACAGGCAGTATAATATAAGGAGGCTGATAAACAATTACAAAAACAATTTGTCTACATTATCCCAAGCACTATTTAAATCAACAAGCAAGGTTTCACACAGGGGAATAGAGGGAGGCATGTTGCTGTGTAGCGTGGCAGAAGTTGGTGACGAAGTAGGGCTGGTCTGTGACTCCTCAAGTCGCAATCGGTGAAGAGGAGAAACCAACGCATCGGATTAGTCTATCAGGGATCCGGATGGGTGAATCTGCATCCTGTAGAAAAATACAAGCATAGCCTCTCCCACAAGTTAAATGAATTAAAAAAAATTTTTGAAGGCAGAGAAGGTGTAAGCAGGTGCATTATCTGTCTTAATAGCCTTAGCTTTTTCTGCATAAGCAAAGCAAAACATTAAATGTTGAGACTCATCTTTAAAGGCTATACATACGTTTTTAGTCAAGGAAAGAAAAATACTTTCAAGATACATTTAAACAGAGTAGATTATTAATATTTACCATTATAACTTTAAGACATATATGGTTGGAATTATATCATAAAATTTGAACTAGTTCTTGTATATTAAAAATTTTGGATCATGATCTTAAAATGTTTTTGAGAACTTATATAGGTGCCATTTATAATTAGTCCTCCGAAGGTAAAAAACAAAACAAAACAAAAACACAAAGACAAAAACAGATACAGAGATCTCTTGACATGCATATAAAATTTTGGCCATATGTATATATTTTAAGAGATAGTTATTTTACCAATGTGTGAAGAGACTGAGGTTTTTAATGAGTTAGCAGCTATAATCTGTACACAGAATAAGTGTCTAATCTTAATTATTACCAGAGACCTTGGGCTCGATATCACAACGGTCATGGCAGTGTTTACTAACTTTTTTTTTGATAAGAAAATATTTTTTGAGATTATATTTTTAAGAAATGATTTTTTGGCTTTAGGTTATCAACACTTTATCTCACTGAGAACGAGCATATATTAAAACATAAAAGAACACTGTTATCTTGAGAACAGGAAAAGAGGTAAATTTCTACAGTCTGCCTGTTTTTAGGCTTTTATTAAAATCTGAGGTTTAGTATTTAGCTCAAAAATGTCTGTACTATCACTTTATATTTTACCAGGTTGATTAGTTTTAACAAGAAACTTAACCTTTTACAGGTCCAATAAGTAAATTTAAAAGCTTTTATTTCACCAGTAACCATTCTGTTTGGCTTGTTAGCAAGTCCAAAGTAACTCAGCAGTTTTTACCTCAGATAATTTAGATTTTAAAATCAGAAAAACACAGGGAAATAGAACTTTTTTCCTAGAATGAACCAAAATAGTTTTTTAAGGTGGACAATGGAAAAGTTCAGTCCCCCACAGCCGGAAGGCAGTAGAGACCTGCCAGTGATCTCAACACCAGAGAAAAAGTCCAGGCAGCTGCTTGTTGAGACCAAGGGCAGCCCCCACCTGTCCACTGCAGTGGGTTTATTTTATTTTAATAAAAACCTTTTAGTCATATTATGGTCTTATAGTCTCACATAGTCATATTTAACCATTTTTTATTACTTTAGCAATTGTAAATGAACTTTGCATACTATTCTTTAGAAATACCTTATTTATTTATTTTATTTTATTTTATTTTTTTTATTAGATAATAAATTTTATTGTTATATTCCCCATACAATTGCAGCGCCCCCATTCTGACCCCAATCCCTCCCCTCCCGCCCCTGCCCCCCTAAATGAAATAAATGGCAAAACTTTAACTGTGGGGGGAACCTAGCCTCCTCCCCAAATAATTAACAGGAAAAGCTTGAAGCATTTTTTTCTTCCATGTAAGATTATGTCACATTATCTCTTACTTGTTTTTGAGTTTTTATTTTTATCTCGTAACAATTTCAGCCAAGTCCGGATGGATTTTGGAATGATCTCACAATTGGGAGCTGATGCATCTGCAAAGAGATCAGTACTGGCTCTGGGATTGATTTTTGATTTTTGAAAAATAATTTCATCATCTGATGAATCCTGATCACTTTCCCTAGTACTGCTGGCCAGTTTTTCTTTTACTTTTTGTTTAGCATCTTTCTGGTTTGCCTCCAGCCAGGCAAAAATGACCTATCTGTTAAGGCAATTGTTTTGTTAATATGGGGCTGTCTGCTGAGTCCTGTTTGAGGTCCTCTAAGGATAAAGAAATACCAGGTGCAGGCAGCCTTAATTCTCTGAGTTTTTTTATTTATTTTCTGTCAGCTAAAGCCTAAGCATAAAGACTTTTCTTATTCGCATGGCCTTCAGCTGGAGACCAGCTGCTACTCAGCTATCAGAACTTTTTCTACCTAGCAACTCCTTAACACAAATAACTTCATTTAAAAACTTCCCCAAGAAACATCTAAAAAAAAAAGGGAACTTCTTAAAAAAAGCAAAAGAAGGACTTACTATAATTGTTGTGCTGGATTGCTTGTCAGGCATGAACAATAAATTGTCTCCCATTGTCAAGTGGGCCAAATTGTTTAATAACTAATTTCTAAACAGATAATTTTCCGTGCCATTTACTTATAGTATGCTGATACATATAATTCATTGCCTAATGTACTTTCTGAGAATTTTTTCTCTTTTTATGACCAAGAACAAAAATCAAAGGGATGTTAAATCTTCAGCCCCACAGTGTGAGGCTCTTTGGATATCTTCAGCCCCACGGTGTGAGGCCCTTTTTCTTCAGCCCCACGGTGTGAGGCTCTTTGAGCTTTGGCCCTATGGTGTGAGGCCCTTTTTCTTAGCTGTTTGCCAGTGTCTTAGATGGCTGGGGCATCAAGGCCCCCTGCAATCACCTTATATATTGGTAATCAAATCCAATTACTGCTAAAATAAAAAAACTTTTTATTCCTATAACTAATATATTCTAATTTAATAAAAGTAGTAAATTATTAAAAGGAATTAAAAAACCCAAAGAATCTCAGTGCCACATAACTTGCATTGACCTTTTTCTATGCCCAAGCTTTAATAGGAAACTCCTTTTACTTTCAAGGGAATATTTTTTACCTATTGCTTCTTTATCTTGTCAACTAACTGCTATCTCTAACTTCAAGTCTCCTCTCCATATAGCACTTCTTCATTTACCTTGTCAAATAACTGCTATTTCTAACTTCAACTATCTATTAACTTCAACTATCTCTAACCTCCCCATATGGTCTCTGCCTTAAAAGACCACAAATCTATGTCAAAGACATGGCCGGGAATGTTAACAGCCTTTAGTTCCCAGAGGTTTTCAGGTATGATATATCACTTGTTTTTATAAGACCAAAATTTAAATCACTGCTTCCAAGCAGAAATATACTAAGTGTTTCAAAATGTACTGCTTATATCATGCAGTGCCATTGTTGTCAAATCAGTTATTTAGTATTTGGTCATGCAACATTTGCAGTTTTACTTTTCAAATACATGTATTAACAATTGCCATATTCAGAAGAATCAGCCATAAACAAATGAGAAGAATCTAGCAGGAGTCAGCTAATGAGAATCCTGACTTTTCAGAAATCTGCCCCACGTCCGGACCTTTGTCAGATGACATGAGTAGCATGGCTCGCATCATCTCCCCCTTTTTTGTTTTTGGCCAGAAGTTGTAATGTCTTTAATTTGACGTGGGTCTGTTTGATGGCTCTGCTGAGGAATTGGATGAGGACTGGAAACAGAAACAAAAAAGAATAAGCAATATCGATGTGCCAAGGTTAATAAGAGATGGGAACCAAGCAGCTTTGGTAGTAAAATGTTCTAAAGCAGCCAAAAATGAGTTTGCAACCTCAGAAGGAGTAGAAGAGGGAACATAAGCTAAACTAATCACCTTTATTGAAGACTGAAGGGAATCTAAATCAAATGAAACATTACTATCATCCCAGACACCTAAAAGGTGATTTTTTATGTTGTCCCAAGGAATGGAGGAAGAATTGTAAGTGTGTGGAGTTACACAAATCCCCTTATAGTCTGAGTGACATCTAGTGGGCAAGTGAGTTTTAATACGCTGAATTTGATTACCAATATATAAAAGTGTCTCCTCCAGAACATTTAAACAAGCCTCAAATTTTTTATCAATGCATTCTTGAAGAACAAGGGCATGAGATATATTATGAGATAAATCATTAACATGAGAGGCAGTATGAATTTGCTAATCTGATATAGCAGTAGTGGAAATGGCAAAGGAACCAATAATAGCAATAAGAATAGTAATACCGGGCCTCCCCGGTGGCGCAGCGGTTGAGCGCTGGGTTGCGAAGCTGCGCGCGGCCTCTGCGGCGCCGGTTCGATCCCCGGCTGCTCCCCGGCCACCAGAGGAGGGTCCCACATGGCGCGCAGACCTCTCCTGCCGCCCGCTGCTCCCCTCAGCAGTGTGCTTCGGTCCTTCTGCCTGCTCTGCTCCCCGCTCTGGCTCTGGTGAATTCTCTCGCCCTCCCGCGCTTCTGACTGTACCCAGTGCATGTATAAACAAAACAAACAAACAAACCAGCAAACAAATAAATAAAGCATGCCTCTATAAAAAAAAAAAAAAAAAGTCTTTAGACTTTAAAAAAAAAAAAGAATAGTAATACCTAAAATCAATGCAGCAACAAATCTCTTAGGACGACTTAAGCCTTGCTCCACCAATTGCAGGGCATAAATGCCTGAATCTTCATACCAGGTCTCATTCAGATGTACAGGAAGAACAACATAAGCAGGCTGATGAACATAACGAAGGTGATGGGGCCAATGGTAGAGTCAATGCAATTAGTTAACATACAGCCAGAACAATTGACATGAAAGGATTGCAGAACAAATTGAATATGTAAAACAACCTTGCCCTGAAAAGAAGAGCATGGGGATGGCCCACATAGGCAGTGACAAGAGAGACATTATTAATACCTCTCTGGTCTTTTAAAATCACTTTGCAGTTGGCTACAAGCAATTTGAATAGCTCAGTATACATATAAATGCCATTAACTGTCTTAACAAAGGTGGGTGTGATCCATCCTCCTGAATAACAATGAGTAAGTATTTCAGGGGGAGGAACAAGACTAAATAACTAATTTGACAACAATGGCACTGCATGATATAAGCACTACATTTTGAAACAATTAGTATTTTTCTGCTTGGAAGCAGTGATTTAAATTTTGGTCTTATAAAAACAAGTGATATATCATACCTGAAAACCTCTGGGAACTAAAGGCTGTAAACATTCCCGGCCATGTCTTTGACATAGATTTGTGGTCTTTTAAGGCAGAGACCATATGGGGAGGTTAGAGATAGTTGAAGTTAATAGATAGTTGAAGTTAGAAATAGCAGTTATTTGACAAGGTAAATGAAGAAGCACTATATGGAGAGGAGACTTGAAGTTAGAGATAGCAGTTAGTTGACAAGATAAAGAAGCAATAGGTAAAAAATATTCCCTTGAGAAAGTAAAAGGAGTTTCCTATTAAAGCTTGGGCATAGAAAAAGGTCAGTGCAAGTTATGTGGCACTGAGATTCTTTGGGTTTTTAATTCCTTTTAAGAATTTACTACTTTTATTAAATTAGAATAGATTAGTTATAGGAATAAAAAGTTTTTTTTATTTTAGCAGTAATTGGATTTGATTACCAATATATAAGGTGATTGCAGGGGGCCTTGATGCCCCAGCCATCTAAGACACTGGCAAGCAGCTAAGAAAAAGGGCCTCACACCGTGGGGCTGAAGCTCAAAGAGCCTCACACCGTGGGGCTGAAGAAAAAGGGCCTCACACCGTGGGGCTGAAGATATCCAAAGAGCCTCACACTGTGGGGCTGAAGATTTAACATCCCTTTGATTTTTGTTCTTGATCATAAAAAGAGAAAAATTTCTCAGAAAGTACATTAGGCAATGAATTATATGTATCACCATACTATAAGTAAATGGCATGGAAAATTATCTGTTTAGAAATTAGTTATTAAACAATTTGGCCCACTTGACAATGGGCTTGTCAGGCAATCCAGCACAACAATTACAGTAAGTCTTTCGTTTGCTTTTTTAAGAAGTTCCCTTTTTTTTAGAAGTTTCTTGGGAAAGTTTTTAAATGAAGTTATTTGTGTTAAGGAGTTTCTAGAAAGAAAAAGTTCTGATAGCTGAGTAGCAGCTGGTCTCCAGCCGAAGGCCATGCGAATAAGAAAAGTTTTTATGCTTAGGCTTTGGCTGACAGAGAAAATAAATTAAAAACTCAGAGAATTAAGGCTGCCTGCACCTGGTATTTCTTTATCCTTAGAAAGTAGCCCTCCCTGGTAGAGCAGCGGTTGAGCGCTGGGTTGAGAAGCTGCCTGCAGCCTCTGCAGTGCTGGTTCGATCCCTGGCTGCTCCCCGGCCACCAGAGGAGGGTCCCACATGGCACGCAGACCTGCCGCCCAATGCTCCCCTCAGCAGTGTACTTTGGTCCTTCTGCCTGCTCTGCTCCCCGCTCTGGCTCTGGTGAATTTCTCACCCTCTCGCACTTCTGACTGTGCCCAGTGCTTGTATAAATAAATTAAATAAATAAATACATACAAAAATAAATAAAACTCATAAATAAATAAAACTCATAAATAAATAAATAAACAAATAAATAAATAAATAAATAAATAAATAAATTTGAAAGTCTTGGTGGCTTGTTCTATTATCTATT